ATCAATAGATAATGGAAACTGGTATCATGTTCCATAAGTAAAAACAGTAGCCGCACGCTTCCAAAAATATCTTAGTTTTTATAAAGTGCTGGAAAATGATTTATCATTCTAATGAAAAAGAATATCAGAGTGGTCTAGAAAATAAGAATTTTCATATCAGGTTCATCCATATAAGTATAAATCATCAAACTACAAGCGCAGCATTTTGATCAATATCAAACAGCAAATTCGCTAGAACAAGTTGGGTGTGGGTGTGAGTGTCAGTGTGTGTATGAATATACAGTAAACCCACACTTCACTCCATACTCACATCCATACTTACACTCCACATCTGACACACAAGCCCTATATCAAATAGAAAAAATATCGAATGTACAAATTTAGAAGAGTAACAATGTCGAAAATAGAATATTTAAAGAAAAGAAATGTCTCTAATTTATTGAAGCTCTTTTCATTTTTTTGTTGGTCAAAAGTGTCTTCAAAGAATCTCACCTTTTCCCGCTCTGATATTTCTCGCATTTTGCTTTTTATTCATTTCGATCCCAAATTCTTTTCATTAAGTCTCTTTTAACATTCGTACCTTCCGTATTCTTGACATTTTCCTCTTTCGATATTTTTGCGTTGGATATTTTTATTATCGAATGAACTACAACCAACTCAATAATTTTATTTATAATATGCACATATTAAAAGATGTAACAAACATATAGGAAAAAGAATCTTAAAATAGATGTTAGAGCTTACGCTCATGAGCATCGAAATCGAACTGAGATGTTGATGAATAGTTTTATATGGAACCTTTGAGAATTAATTAATAACTGAATTGAGTCAGGAATCAGTGGTGACTGAGAAAGTTTTCATTATATCGAGCAATGTTGACAATAGCAATTCTTAACGAAAGCGTAGGCCACCAAATTCGAATCACATAAAGACAGCTGACGGCTAGGTCAAATCAAACTAAACTGGCTGATCGTTGATATTATTCGATTTAATCAATCTAGACTTTTGACACAATTGTAATTTTCAACAGTGGATATATTTATGCCTGTTTTAGAAATGAGAAATTGAAACCTTTGATTGAACTTAGTACAGAGATATGCAAGCATAATTATCAAAAGAAACGCTTTCAGTGAACTAGACGACAAGTAGGTCATTAGGTAAACTCATTGGAAATATAGTTTATGACCAATATATTTGGACATCTTCATGGAACAATATACGAAATGAACTATTAGAATTTGTTTCGAATAAGAAGAGAACATTTTCGTATAGGAGTAAAGTCAATTGAACTAACAATACCTTATAATGAGATTATAATTTAATTCATTGAACTTTGTTTGTGTATGATTGAGAATGTATTTTCAAAAATGATCCATTATTTATTTTTTATTAACGAGAATGACAAATAATAACACATTTTCTTTGTTCATGACTTTCAACAAATATATTTTAAATATTTTTCCATATAATCCATTACTTCATTGTTTCATATCAAGGTTTACTTTATAGTTACATGCGACATTTTGTCCTTGTGGATTGAATATAAGTATTATTCAATTGAATTAGATAGAAATATAGAAGTTAGTTTTTTTTTCGTTCTAAATTCTGTAAATAATCTTTGGAGGTTTCTGTGTTATTTTGCGGACAAACTAAATCAAGTGACTAGTAGATAGCTTATTGTTTTCATCTTCTTTCAACTATTTCCGATCGATCTCGATATACTTCCTTGTCAATTTTTAAAAAGCACCTGTTTGTGTTTCAGAGACAAAATGCCCATCACTTCATCCTACGCAAAAGAATAAGGTCTGCATACGGTTGTTTATGATGCCGTATTACAGTGTAGAGGATTTCGAGAAAACATGGTTAGTTTACTACCATAAACGATATCTATTTTGATTGACATGAGATCACTTCTCATCTCGCTGCAATGGTAAATAGCAAAGATGATTCAATAAACAAATGAGATAAATTAGCTCACTGTTAGACTTAGGCTAAATTGTTTCTTATCTTATTTGCGTAGATTGTTCGATTGGTCATAGAAAAAGTGAGATGTAAATAACAACTTCAACTATTTCAATACGATCGATATTGACTTAGTAATGATTAGAGGTGTCGGATTAGCATTAGTATTAAAATAATGCTAATGCTTTTAAGCATTAACATTAGCATTAATTAATGCTAAAACTAACACTAATGCGATATACCTAGCAGTGATATTGCTCAGACAACGTACAAGCTAGAACTGTCAATGGAAATAAAATGAATTAGATACCCTTGTCGCATATGTCAAGTGGCTATGTTTAAAATGAGATACACAAACTCTTTGTAAGGTTCTATTGACATTTAGTTGAAACTTCAATAGATGAAAACAATACGTATTTATTGTAGTATCAATTTATAACAAAAACAATCGAAAACATCTAACATATCTTCATGCTCATGTAACTGCTATGGAAATAATGGATGCAATTATATGATAATGCAATCTATTTCATTAATTGTAATGCATTATTTCTTCCATAATGCATTATTTGCAAACATTATGCATTAATATGCATGAAATAGGTTGCATTATCATGGCATTGCACCCATTATCGGTTATATGAGATAGCCATGGCTGTACCAACCGATATCATTTACAAGTTTTTTTTCCTCTAAAAACAAAGGAGTCTTAAAGAAAACAAAATGAGTCGTTGTACTTCTCATTGAAATTCATCAATCCTATTAGTGTGTAAACGTGTTAATTTAATCTTCTTCGGCATACAGATCAAGATTATTTCCTCGATTGAAAGAATAAGGTCTAGAAATGGAAATGTTTTCTGTCTCTGTCAGTAACATAGTTCCATATGATAACTATGATTCACAGGGATATTCGATAGCTATAGTATGAATAACTGCGTAGGGTAACAATTGACACTTAACCATTAGCCTGAATATAAGACTTTTAGTAGTTATAACCACGTAATTAGAATAATGTGATATTACTTTGTTTGGAAATAGATATAGCACATATACAATTTACTGTAAATTGTTGCATTAGTTCTTTTTATCTTTATATATCAATATATACAGTTAACATAAATTTCATGCCAAGCATATAACAGACATGGAAGATTTGGAATATGAAGTTTGTTTTTAACATGGCAGCTTCGAGCATAAAATCTCTAAAATTAGTATACTACTGTTTTTGACCGCATATCATCGATAGAATTTCAGTAATTCCACATATATCAATATATTTACTGTGATAGAACAACAGAATATATAGTTTCGATAATGCAAGTATCGAACAAATTTGATAAAATTTCCGTAGAAAAAGCAGTAGCACTGCATATATAATATGTTGGCGTGGCCCTTTTCGTCATTTTCCCATCCCATCCGACAAGAATTATCACGGTGGACTTTTTGTTTTTATTGCGAATGAAAAATAAAATAAAATAAAATAAAACTTAATCTGTTATGATAAATTAGATCACATGATTAACATTATCATTGAGTGTCGCCCATATTTTACTACAAAGATATTTGGATATTAGAGAACATTGTTGACGATACCACAATAGTAAGAATCATTTCTCAGCAATATTTACTTTGAGGGATATTCTAACATGTATTTGGGTCAATAAAAGAAATGATAATCAACATAAGAAAAACTTTTTATCGTACTTCTTCTTTGAGTTTAGCTTTCAAATGAATGTTTGTTTGTCTACCTAAACTGTAAATTTTCGACCAGGAAAAGCGACATGAAGCTTTTCTTTCGTATTACAAGTTGCATGAGATATTCTATTATTAGAATAGATACATCATGTCAAAAATTTCTCTTGTCCGTCTTTTACATATACACAAATTATAGATGGATTTTCTTGTGTACCAATTGTCATAGTTGAAATTGAAAACGTCTATGTCATTTTACCTATATACTCGGATTATGTTATAAACAGCTGTAATACATAGCTTATCGTAATCCTAACAACAGACAACAGATTTGATGTGTATCTCATCAAACAACGATGTAGGTAATGGAATTCAACAAAGAGAGTGGAAGGAAGTTTTTCTACAAATCCATACTGTTGAAACAAATTTTTATATCCGCTTTTTCACCTGTGCATGAGATCATACAAGAAGTTCTCATGTCACCTTTTTATTGAAAATTTCTAATAGCGGTAGAAAAAAAATTCTTATAGTGAAACACAATCTAAAAGAAGTGTTAAAGTACACGATGACATATGACAAACACGTTAGAAACCATTGATCACGAATTCGATAGATAAAACGATAGACATGTCTGAGACCGTGGCAGATGTTGTTGATATTCCATCACAGATCGTATATCCGTAACTTCGTCTTATAGTATATGAACTAGTTCCTTATTGTATTTTTCGAATATTAGATCAGAGTATCGTGAAGAAACATGTGCCAAAATACAACGAATAAAACAATCTCACTGCGATTAGTGAAAGCAGCTACATCGCTGTTCACATTCTAATTCAGCTGATCAAATTTTTGGAATATAGAAAAAACACAAGAAAATTATCTGATGGTTTGATAGTTTTGACAGTCACTGTGTACAAAGACTATGAATTTATTTCGTATGATTAATATCTAACATAAAGTACAAAGAAAACTTATTTCCAGAAAAGAAAGATTTTTTTGTGGCGAAACATGACATTTAAAATATGCATTAGTTGCTTGAATATAATTCTTCCAAAAACATAATTTACCATGTATATGAAGACGTTCTCAAACTGTTAAAAAACAAACTTATGCTCCACTTCTCATCATCAATTAGACATGGATCAATGTTATAGTATAAAGAAATGTATACTCTCGTCGTGATGGAAATTAGTTGAGATATATTTTTTTTACGCTGAAAAAATATTATACTCCATTATAGGATTTTTATTCTACCAAAGAGAAATAAAAAAAGAAATTTTGTTTATCTAAAACGAATAACACAATGAAAGACTAGTGTGTTATTTTTCTTCATCAATGTACCAACAATGAATAGTACATCAAGCAATGTTAGTGGTGCTCTTTTAGCTGCACCGTATCAGTTGAACAAATGGTTTGGTTTATTTATCTGGATGATCGGTAATCTTGGTTGTATTGGAAATATGATTGTATTTAGTTCTCGAGCATTTCGCAACCGAGCTTATGCAGTTTACCTATCATCAGAAGCAGCATTTAATATTATTTACTTTGATTTTCTATTGCTTACACGAATACTTCAACGAGGATTTCAAATTCCAATAACTACACGTTATAATATTATATGCAAACTTCGACAATTTGATTCCGTCTGGAATCATGACGTTTCGCTTAGTTTGTTTTCATTTGCAACAATTGATCGAATTTTATCTCTACAACGTTTGAATAGTAAGTTAAGAAAATAAACATACACTCCCAGTCGAGCAAAGGGCAAGTAAAATGACTAGTCGTTTTTCCAAGCGTAACGCCCATTCAGAAGCGACTTTTTAAATGATAAAAAAGCAAAGGAAGAGCATTCACGACTTTGCATACAACAGATTGTAGTCTTATGTTTTAGTAATATCCTAAAATGCTATTGAATATCATTCTACTCGAAGTTTTTTCAAATTTCACCATGAATAAAAAACTGTATCATGTACTACAAAATTACTTACATAAAATAGAACAGGACTTGTTTATAGTTGTTTTTTTTTTAAACTAAAATAAAATTATTGTATGAAGATATTATAAATTTTCGTATTAACTCACTTCTAATTTACTTTACAGTTTGATAAATTTTAAAGAATAATAATAGGCAATTTTCGTTGAGAAGTAATTAGAATACTAGCTATTTTCAATTAAGTCCTTGTACTTTCAGTATAAAAAAGTGCAAATCTTCACTCTCCCGAGAGGTGCTCGATAAACTCCTTGAATATACAGTTTGCAGCATAGTAATAGAAATAAGATTTAATTTCAATGTTTTTCCGCCTTCGCAAGCATTAAAAGAACCCTGAGAGTGATTCAAATAGAAAAAATGGTTGTCAACAAGATAATAAGAAAATGAAAATTATAATCGTAGTCGCAAATAGAGATAGTCCAGAAAATCGAAACCCTAGGTTTTTTTAATAGTTGTAGTCAAAATCAACACAGTCTTCTTTGGACTATACAGAACAATAGAGTAAATCATCTTTTACAAAATGTGATGCCACAAAGTTCTCTGCAATGTTTTTTACGTAAGATATAGGAATTTCAAAGAATCTTCAAACATGGTTTTTGTAAAAGCAATTAGACAACAATGACTTAAGGAGCTTCCATCAGATTGATGAATCTCAGCTGAAAGCCGTCCTAGAGAACTTGAAAACTCATTTGTTAATGTATACTATGTAATTTAATTTGAAATCATTGAGAGCTTTGTACGTCTTGTAGTGACGAATTTATAAAGATTTCTACAAACAACATTAGGAAAGTACAAATAAACCGAAAGTTTGACGTAGTAGATTGAACTTCTTGTCAAAATTATTCATCACCAAGGCTACACATTTCTGGAAATTTCAGTTCAAATGAACCTTTTTTAGTTTAAGATCTCTCGTGAAAGAGAGACCTGGTCATGAAGACAAAGTAAATTATCATCACAACAAGTAAATATTTTCGAAGTCTTTTAAAAGTAACAGAATTGGATCGTTCTCAATGGATGCTTAAGAATTATTATTATTAAAATATATTCTGATGTTGTTTTCTTCTCGATTAATTTGAATTCTTTTTAGTAGTGGATCTGGACTTTTTATGATGAGATGCGATCTTGATCATAAAATTTGTTTTGCAGCTCTTTCGAGTTGATTTTGAGCCATTTTAAAGACTTTTCTGTTAGAAAAAACAGAAAAATTCTTTTTGGAATGGAGCAATCGTTCTTAGCACCCATCCTAAATTCTTCACTAATTCTTTCTAATAAATTGTTCGAATTTGGATAGAAAACACTTCTTTCTTGCAGAAGAACAATCTTGATTCTTCAAGCTATAAGTTTGTAGAGAGACTTGTGATCGAATCATTTCTTTTACTAATCAATAGAAATAACTATTTTCTTGTACATTTCATTACTTTGAATCTATTTTGAACATAGTGAATCTCTCTTGATCTTCAGAAAATTTTAATTCCGATGGAAAGCTTCTATTGTGTAGAAGCAAGAAGATTTTATACTCTTTTCTTTCCATTTAAGAATATCGTCGATGGAGCAATCGTGTAGAACTAGCTTACAAAATGTGTATTACATGTGTACTCTTTTGGCTATTGTTTTTTGGTCATCGACTTATTTTATATCGTACTACTAGTGGAAGCTGTACTCCTCTACCCGGGTTTTATGCATATTTTGATAATTATGTTGAAGCGAGTGTTACAGCGATGGGTACACCATTGGTGATGATTGTACTTGCTCTTCTATTGTTACGAAGTGTCCGAGGCATTACTCAAAGACGAATCGTTCCTAAGGATGGTGGACCACCAGCAGTAATTTTACAAGGATCAGATCTTCATCAGATCGATTGTCGACTTACATTGATGCTTTTTTTACAATTAGTCATTGCTATAACAACACGTGTACCATATGCAATTCAACTAGTCTATACAGGTATCACTCAAAGTTGGCCAAAGTCGGCCTTACAAATTGCTATAGAGAATGCGATGGTTGAATTCATTCATTTACTGTCGTACACATTTTTTGCTTCTAGTTTCTACGTATCGTTTATTACAAATAGTGGTTTTCGTCGCAAATTTAAAAATTTCTTGTGTAAATGAAAAAATATATATCGTGTAAAATAAATTGATCTTATCAAATAAGACCAGTGAAATGTCGATTCGAAAAAATTCTGTATCCAAAAAAAGGTGTGGGCGTTAGCTGAATTCTTTTGCACAATCAAATTCATACTCTCAAGATATTGATCTCTTTGACAAATTTCGAACGAATTTCTAGCGACTCGCCATTTTCTAGAATATCCTATCAAAAAGTTCAGCTTTTGTTGCAGCAAAACACTCACAACGTATGAAGACTGCATGCGTATATGACCGATCACATCAATACTTTGCTTTGCACTACTTCCACTAAGATAGTTCATTTTGTAGAGACTGAGAAAATTTCAAAGTACCATCAAAATGTGAACAAAAAAACTAGTTTTCTTTCTATGATCTAGCCTAAAGAAAAATGAAAGTTTGTGATCTTTAACATTTTTCTCAATTTTGTATATTTCATCAAGCAAACATTTGTTAAGAAAAAAAGAACATTTCACACACGCATGCAGAGATATTATACAGATGAAAATATTTCGAAATTTATTCTTTTGATAATATTAATTGATTTAATGCATGTGCTTCAATAATTAATTCTGATGGTATATCATTAATCAATGTAACATCATCATTTTTTAAATATGTTCGAATTTTTTGTTTAATAGCTGCTTGTGCTATGATAAGTTCTCCGATTGTTTTCATTTCATGAATTTGTATTTTATTTTGCAATAAATATCTATTTTCTCTAATTAACATTGGATATTCACCATAACATCGTCGTTCAAGTTCTTGAAGAATAGCATTCTTTTGAACTTCAACGTTTCTTAGATCTGCATTTTTATACATTAATAAAAGATGTGAATTATCTAATGTAGATAAATCTTCATTATTTAAATTAATAATATTATCATTTCTGGCATAGTTTAATAAAAGTTCTGATGAACCATAAAAATTAGTATTCATTGGTATAACATCAGGTACTGATGAACTTTCATTTGATGAAGTCTTATTTTGATTTTCTAAGGTATTTTTTAATGGTAACTGAATATTAGAATTATGAAGATTAATTAATCGTTGTTGATTATTTGTTTGCATTGGTATTGGCATGAAATCTTTACAATCGATTGATGATGTAATAATTTTTGCATCTGTTGAATCATATCGACGATCATCATGACGAGAAAATATTTGTGATTGAGATTTATTTTGTTGATTTAATGGAGAATAATGTTGATTTAATGGAGAATAATCAGATGGTAATGGTGGCATAAATGTTGGATCAATATTTGGTGGATATGGTGCAATATTCAAATGAGAAAATCCAATTAAATTTGAATTACTATTTAATGATTTTGTCGGTGATGGAATTAAGTCTGTATTTGGATATGGAAGTGGATGTGATTTAATAGTTGAAATTTGTCCTGGAAATGAATCAATGATTGATTGAGACATATTTGATGGTATTGTTTGACACATTTTATCTTGATGATAATTATTTTCTTGTTTTTCTTTATCAACAAGTAATGTTTGTACAATAAAATTTTCAATTAAAAGTTCAGATTTTATCTTAGAAATATTTAAAATATCAGATTGAATAATATATTGAATTTGTTGTTGTAATTTATGATATGCATAACTTAATTCTAGAATATTTTTTTGATTATATTTTTCTAAATATTTATTTATTAATATGATTTCATTTGATGTTAATAATGGACCAGTAGATTTTCCTTGTATACGTTGATGAAATTCATTTAAAATTGATTTCATAAGATCATGATCAATTGTATTATGATATAATTCAATTAAATCTGATATTGTTAAACGATTAACATCAGTTGTTGATTTTTTTTCTATGGATTCATCTTTATAAATTATTTGCATAGATGATCGTTTTAATCGATTATTTTCTTGTTTTTCTTCAATTAAATGAATAAATTTAATCAATTTTTTAATAAATTTATCAGCTTTTAATTTTGTTTCAGGATTTTTTAATAAATTTAATTCTATTTTTAATAATTTTATTAAATCTTTAAATTCATTTGCTAAATTAAATGATGAACATACATCATTTAATTGTAAAGATTTATTTTTAATATCTTTCATTTTTTGTTCTAATGCTTGTTCAAGTAATTCTTTTGTTTCAGATATTGTAATCATTTTTTCTTGACATTTATTATGATCTTGATATATTTGATTATATTTTTCTTTTAAATCAATTAATATATCATGTAAAGTTTCACGACTTATTTGTATAGTTTTTTTAGCATAATAATGATTTATATATGAACAATGATTTCGACATTGTTGACATTTACCATTTTTCATAACTAAACATTGAGAGAATATTTGTGTATCGACAAGATTTGTTTCATTTAAACGACAATTATTATGACAAACTTGATTACAATTTGCACATAAAGTACTATGATGTAATGCATCGATTTGTTGAATTTTTTCGACAATTTGATGTCGTGTATGATCTTGATATGTCATTACATCTCGATTAGTTTGTTGAAATTCAAGATCTAATTGAGTAATTGAATCTTGAATTTTTTGTATTTGAATCATTTCAAGACGTGCTTGATGAAGAATTGATTTAATTTCATTACGAATTTGTTTCATTTGTAAAAATGAATCAATAGATATTTGTTTAAATGAATCAATTGTTGCAAGTATTAATTTTATTTGATTCATTGAATGATCCCAATCATAATGAAGTTCATTACGAATTGATTTTGTCCATGTTTTTGGATCAGATACAAATGCACCATTTTGCATATAAAATGGATAAATTTTACCATGTAAATGTAATAATTTTAAATCAAATGGTGATTCATGTTTTTTAACATTAGTTAATATAACAATAACATTTTCTAAAATAATATCAGGTATATTGCTATTTAAACAATTCATAGCATAACGAAAATTCATTGTTAATCGACTTAATGAACCATTAATAACAAGTATAATGGAAGTTAGATTATCTAATTGTGTTATAGCATCAAGAATTTTATTCATATTCATTTGATTTTGTTCAATACTATGAGTATCAGAAAAACCAGGTGTATCCAAAAATAAATATTGTTTATTTGTTATTACATCAGTAAACATATATTGTGTACAATGATTTGTTTTTGATTGAGTATTATCATAAAGATTCAATTCATTATAAGTAAATTCTTCAGTAGGAATCGGATAATACTTACATGGTATAACTATTTTAGGATTATTAAAATCACCTTTATGAAAATAATTACATAAATAATTAATAAATGTTGATTTTCCCGCACCTGTTTCACTAATAAGAAGTATTTTTGCTACTTTTTCAAAATTTGAACGATATTCACTTGATGAAAATAATAGATTTACTGAACTTAGATCAGACATTTTTAAAGTTTATTATTCAGAAGTCTAAAATAAACGAATTTTAAATGAGAATTTAATGATTTTCGAAATTGATTGACGACTAAAAAAAAGTCAATTTTAAGACAGCAAGAATCTTTGAAAATGAAAATAATGGTTAGTTCTTCGAAGATAGAATCTCTGAAAAAAACCAATTTTATTTAAATCATACGAAATGAAACGTCTTCAAATTTTCTACAATGTTTTTTGATCGAGATATATGAATTTTACAATAGAAGGTACAAAAGTTGTTTTTTTCTATTGCGTAGTTCGTATGAAAAACATCATTTGTGCACCTTCCGTATGATTGATATGTCTGCCCCCCAAAAAAAAACGTCGTAGAAAGCTGAAAGACGTCTCATTATATAGAAAATGATATACTATGTCATTCTAAAAATTCTTGTTGAAAATAAAATTCTCTACAAAAATTACTATCTGGATTCTTATTAGCGTTTATGATAGTAGGAAAAAAATGAAAATATAAAACTGGTTGAATAATTTTACAAACTACTATATATATATAAGTGAAACATTCCGCCTAACTGAACAGCATCGTTAATTATTAATTTTCATGCATAAAACAATTTAATCTTCAGTCGACCGATAAACATATGTCATACCTTTTCGATTTTGAATATTTTATGCCAAACTTAATAAATAATAGCGTAATATCATAATTACTTATATCTCAAAATTAGATTTTTTCTGAAGTTCGTACAATAATATCTGTTTTTTTTTGCTTGCTTTAAAATTAAGCATGCATTCTCTACAAGCATGGTTATGTATACATACTTTACTTCCCATAACACAATACGTAAAAAAAGAAAAAAAAGAGAAAACGCTTCATTGATTGCTACTGACTTGTTTTGCACTCATGTCAAAAAAAAAAAGAACAAAATATTTTTTTTTTCGACATAAACATATTTTTTTACAAAAACTAATGATGATGACACATTTTCCAACTTGATTTACAACACGTGGTCTTATACATTGATCCAATAGACTTACAAGACATATTAAAACGTATATTTATTTTTGTTAAAATATTTGTTTTGTTTGAAGGAAGTATGATATACAGTAATTTGAATATTGCATTGAAATAGTCGGATAATTTTTCGATAGATTGGCTTTTAATGACTAAATATAATGATTAGTATTTATTTGAGAAAATATTTAAGCCATCGTTATGAGAAGAAAAGAATACGTTTTTTTTCTTTCGTGTGTTCTGTATGATGTAGTTTATTTCAAGCTTCAAGAACAACAAACACATTTATGAGTATAATAAAACAAAGCAATAAATCGAATTATTAAAATTCTTTTCAATGGAGAATTTTTTCTGTTGACATTCTTGTTGTTTTTAGATAATGAAATATTTACTGTTGCCATATGAATACAGTTTATCATTTTATATTTTACAAAACAATTTACTATGAAAGAGTATATAAAAAAAAGATTCAAAACTGATAGTTTTTGTTTTCATTTTTTGCCACGAAAACCTATCGACTAAAAGAAATAAACAAAAAGTGAACGGCGTTCACGCGATAATATAGAAAATTCTGATGTCTTTATAATACATCAATCACTGTAAAAATCTGCTTACTGACAAG